GCACCTCTCATAACTTACAAAAAATAATTCGAGATGGATAAAAGATTTAAAGCTAAGGCAAGAAAAAGTAAAAATACTCAAAGAAAATGTGGGGAAAACACTTGAAGATATCAGCCTGGGGAAAGATTTTACAAGGAAGAGTTGTGTGGTAATTGCAACAACAAAAATACACAAACGGGACTTAAGTAAACTGAATAGCTTCTGTACAACTAAGGAAACAACAACCAAAGCAAATAGACAGCCTTCACAATGAGAAAAGATATTTGCATATTATGAATTGGACAAAAGCTTGATAACTAGGATCTACAGAAAACTCTAATCAACAAAAAAAGACTCAACAATCCCATATATCACTGGGCAAGAGACATGAACAGAACCTTCTCTAAAGAAGACAGATGAATGGCTAACAAACATGAAAAACTGCTCATCAGAGAAATGCAAATCAAAACCACCATGAGATATCACCTAACCACAGTAAGAATGGAGCACATCACAAAATCTCAAAGCTACAGATGCTAGTATGGATGTGGAGAGAAGGGAACATGTACACTGCTAGTGGGACATACAACCTTTTTGGAAGGAAGTATGGAGAATCCTCAAAGAACTCAAGCTAGACCTCCCATTTGACCCTGAAATCCCATTACTAGGTATCTACTTAGAAGAAACAAAAAACATTTTATGATAAGGACATTTGCACTAGACTGTTTATCAAAACTCAATTTACAATTGCCAAAATGTGGAAACAACCTAAGTGCCCTCTAACCCAGGAATGGATTAACAAGCTGTGGTATGTGTATACCATGGACTATTATTCAGTCATTAAAAAAGATGGAGCTTTACAACTTTTGTATTAACCTGGACGGAGGTGGAACATATTCTTTTTAGTAAAGCAAGAATGCAGAAACAAGAATCCAGTGTACTCAATTCTAATAAGAAGGCAGTAAATTATCTAAAACAAAGTAGAAGGTAGGTGAATGAGGGAGTGGGGATGGGGGGGAAGAAGGGCCATGGTATATGGTGCACCTCTTGAGAGGAGGACACAATTACAAGAGGGACTTTATCTAACAAACGGAATCAGTGTAACCTAATTCTTTGTACCCTCAATAAATCCCAAACAATACAAAACAAAAAGAGACTGGCTTTCAGAACATCTTATTATAGGATAATATTTCTCCAAGGGAAGACCCTCCAACAGAACAACCTGGGCTTTCTGATCTAAAGACTCAGAAGTAACTTTGAGAAAAGATAGCGTTTCATCCAGAGAAATCATGGACTCAAAGCTTTTCACAGAATTAGAAAACATGTTGAATGTCAAACACTCACTGTGTGTAAAGCAGAAATCACTATATAAAAACAAAGTCTGTAAAATTTAAAAATATAAGGGATTAGAACATAATTATCTCCATTTCAGTAACCTAGACACAGAGATTAATATTATCATTAATATTATGCTCAAGAGTTTTTAAACCTATTAAAGAATACAAGATAAAGCACAAAGTGACCATAACACAGTAAGATAAATTATGTGTTTGATACAGCTCATCAAGTAATAATATAACCTAATATTAATATTAGAATAGTAATCAATGAATGGGAATGCAAGACATGGGCCATGAACTTTCCAACTCCACTGGCCGCTTCCTATTCCTAAAAGCTATCAGACATGTTCCTGCCCCTGGACCTTTGCACTACCTGTTCCTTCCACTCTTTCCCCCAAGTGGCTGTGTGAGGTGCTAGCTTGCTTCTTATTCTAGGTCTTATTCCAGTGTCACCTGTGCAGTAAGCTCTTCCTCATACCACCAACTTACCCTTGTAAAGCTTTGTTCTCCTTTCTTCCATGCTTCTTCTCACTATCAAAAATACTACGTATTCTAAAAATATATATATTGTGTTTTCTCCCTATTTATTTTGCATAGTGTCTCAATAATAGAGAGCAGGGTCTTGATAATTTGCTCACAGCTATATCACATGCACCTACCATGGTGCTTAATATTTAATATTAATTATTTGTTGAATAAATGAGCTGAGAAATAATGAAATAGCTATTACTTAACCAACGCTCTGGACTCAATGTCATATGTACTTTTTATAACACTGAAATCAATTTCACCATTATTATTAAAGAAATAGACCTTTTGTTCTAATCTACTTTTAGGATAAATAAGCAAATGACAAGGAAAAATAATTATTAGGGGTATAGTTTAGAAACTAAGTATCAGGATTTATTGAGAATAAAATTCAGCTGGAGCCAGTAGATTACTTACATTTACAAAGGGGAAGAATAAGCATTTTATCATTTTCCTCTGTAAAGCCTACGCTCCCACCTCCTTCCTTCCCAACCGTTGATCCCTCAGGAGTCACTTCACCTTCCCGTCACCACTTTACCTTTCCTACTGCCATGCTTCATGCATGCTGTGCTTATCATACTCAATTCCATTTGATTGCACATATGTCTTACTTTCAAAAAATAAACTACTTAATGGCAGGAATCTTAAGGTTAAGAAAAGTTAATTATGTGTTCTAACTGCCTTGCATAACATCGGGCATCAGAAGTTCCATGAACGTTGATTGAGTAGAATGTAAATGAGTTGATGCTTGAAGTCATAAATTTGAAGGCTTCAAAATTCTGAGTCACCAAAGAAATGTTAAATTGAGTTCATTATACTACCAGTTATAGATATGGACAGATAAATTCTGAAAAGACTTCATTGACTATCCTTAAACCACAGTATTTTGGCTGGAACTCACAGTTTCTGGAGTTTTTTGATTAATCAACATTTTGCTGGATTTATTCTCAAATAGGAAATTATTTTTGTAAATGAGGAAAAGAAGGCATTGGATAGGATCTAGATTAGAAAGAAATTGAAGAAAAAGGGTAAACAATTTTTATAGAAATTGCCTTTTGTGGAAAACACAAAACTATGAGAAAACTTCCAAATTATTTTATACTTTGGAAAATGTGAGTTATCAAAGCTTTTCCTTGTACAGAGGTAGAATTCAATAGGAAGGTACATCTTTCAACTGCTGAAAGTTGAAAAGCAAGTATAAGCAACAAAAAAAAAAGAAAGGAGAGGAAATTTAAGTAGGGGCTGCTTCCATCGTGGTTCAATCCTTGACGAAACTTCCTAATTGGCTTTTCATCTTCGGTTGCTCCCCCACAGCCTATTTAGACTGTTTTTAAAATCAATGTTCCTATTGATGATGTTTCTTCAGTACTCAAAAAACCTTAAAAATAAAGCCCTCTTTTCTGAAGGATTCCATCTAAAACGTCTTTTAAAACAGCCCTTTGGCCTCAACGCATATTTTCATTAATGTCTTCCACGAGACGTCTATGCATGCATACACAGATGCCAAACCAGATTATATAATTATTCTTTAAACACATGCAGTGTTTTTTCTCCTCTATTCCTTTTTGAAATTAACTATCGCCTCCGGGAGTGTCTACTCCTCACACAAACTTTCAACTCCTGAAAGCCCACCCACGCAGTTTTCTCATTAAGACTTTAATGCTTGTCTCCATTCAGGTATCTTCTCTCTCTCCTCTGAACTATCACAGAATGTTATACATTCCTACAACACCTAACAGGTCCCAGGTCATATCATAGTTGTTTAAGTATTTGTCTTATTCCTTCCTCTGCATGCCACCACTGGCCTTGCTTTGGAAGGTTTGAGGCTATGCTCTTTTTACCTCTGTGAACTGCAGGGAATAGCACAGAACCTTTCCTACATAACGTGCTTGATGTTTCTTGATTTATAACATTGACTAAATATCGTGAGTGACACTGAAGAATCACAGTTGTCGATCTGCTTGACAGCCAAATCTAGCTCAGGTGTCTCCTTGAGAAGTTTTTCAAAGACCTATAACAGGGATCAGTAAGAAGATAGAGGCACCTTGTTTTTAATTCTTCCTCAAAGCCCTTAGAATATGGACAATAAGAGGAAACCTCCCTGAAGAGTATTAGACTGTGGAAAGGAGATCATGGGAATCCTTTTTTTTCTGAATAGTTTCATTTAGTTAGTCTGAGTTTTATCTGGAAGATGAATAGTCTGGATCAAGTCTCTTTAATTTGTCGACCACTAAATTTTAATGATTTTTAAATTACATCATGTTGTAATCTAGAAGAACGAAAACACTCCTTTGCTTATGCTAAACACTACAGAAATCAACAAGTACAAAACACATTTTCCCAGCCATAAAATCGGGTGCCCCTATAATATAATTTTTCTGATGACAAAGACATTCAACCACATATCATCTTTGGGAGCTTTTGAATATTATTTAAAATTTAAATAGAGAATTTGACTTAGATATGTGTCCCACACAACAGGCATCCTGTAGGGCTGCTACAACCTGAAATTCTAAAGAAGCAAAAGAGGGGATACAGGTACTCCAAATGGAAGGGGTTAGTTTGTTGTTTGTTTCTTTTTTTAATTGGGAATTTATAAAGTATCAATTTAAAGATAGTATTTGAATATGCAAGTGTTCTAACCAGAATTATAAATATTTTATTATTCCACTACTGTACTTTCATTCCATTAAAGAAATTAAGTTGTGCACATTTAACCAAGTTCATTTTTCCAAAGGAGAGAAATTAGAATTCAGAATGCTTTTCATAGGATTCATGAAGTGTCAAAGGTCAGTGTTCAGAAGAAATCAGATGACAAGTGCATTGTATTTTATTCTTGATTCTGCTGATAATTCCTCATGGGAAAAATATGTAACTCTAGATGCTAGATCAGAGGTGAATTTAACAAAAAGGTTTTCCTCCTACCCTGCTGTCTATTCATTCATATTTTATAAATATGCAGAAGTAATTTTATATCTATACCTGAATATTAAAAAATACAGTTTTGTTTTCACATACAATATAGTTTCATGAATCGTGCATATAAAATAGGACTAGTAGGCTAACTTCTTTCTTTATAACATAATGATTACCTGCCTTCAAGAAAAATATGAAACAGTAAGGCTGGTTTTAAATTGTGCATAGAAACAGTAATTGTGTCTTTAAGGCAATTAAAAGATTTATTGAATATTGGTTAAAAGTAGATTGACAATTATATTAAAGAATAAAATGTAATTTATTTGGTGCTACTTTGTGAATGGTTCTAAGTACAAATCATCTCAGGGTACCATATACATTATATTCTTTCAATCACAACTCAAACATAAAATAACCTACAAAATCACATGGCTATAAACAATATACGATAATGATATTTTTAAAAGAAAGGAAAAAAGATTAGCAGTTAATTAAGTTAAGGTGCAATAACTTTTTCAGGGAAAATATTAGCACCATACCAGATAAAATGACCTAGAACTATTGGCCTCCTTGTTCTTCTTAAATAACTAAATATAAACATTTTTTTCAAAGCACAGATATTAATTTGTAAAATCGTTTCTACAAGTAGTTAATATCTCTTTCTCTCATTCCTTTTTTTTTTTTTTGTTATGCATTTTTTTCCCTGTAAGGAAAAATATGAAGTAAAAACTTTCACAGAATATGAAAGTCTAACGAATAAACGAATCTGGCCAAACAAGGCGCTGTCTTCAGCAGTGAGTTCCGACCGAAGCGAAAGTGGACATCTCCCGGCGTATGGTGCTGAAGGGCGAGAGTTCCAGCTCCGTGGTGTGCTCGTGGTCATTGTCGTCGCTGGTCACTGTGGAGGACTTCTGGACGCACTCCTCACAGCAGCAGCAGCAGCACTCCATGAAGGCCCGGCTGAAGGGTTTGCAGAGACAGAAGAGGAGGACTGGGGTGACGCAGGACTTGAAGAACAGAAGGAACTGGCTGATGATGTTCAGGAGGTCCATCGTCTGCTGGGAAACCCCGGTGGCCATGTAGGCGGTGACGATGTTGCAGATATTTTCGGGAATAATGCAGAATCCGTACAAAATGGTCAGAGCCACCACCGTGCAGTTCATCTGGCTTTCCAGCTGGATCTGCCGCTTGTTCCCTCGGGTGCAGGCTTTCTCTGCTTTGCGGATTTTCCTTGCGGTCACCAAGGAGCAGGTGATGGTGAAGAGCGTGGGCAGGCAGAAGTAGCAGCCGAAATACCACCAGAGCCTGGCGCTGTCGTAGGTGAGCGCCAACACGTAAACGGTGTCGGGCAAATCCGGAGAGATCTTTATCACGCACCTTTCCGCGGGGGCCCGGCCGCTGAACCCCAAGTCCTCCTTGTTCAGCTGGCGGAGCACAACTTCTGGAAGCGCTAAGAGCAGAGCGCCAACCCAGATCACGGCGAGCTTGGCGGTGGTGGAAGAGCAGTTCTCGATCATCTCGTAGTACATCTGCACGTTGGTGGCCGCGCGGAAGCGGTCGATGCACAGCGCGCATAAGGTGAAGGTGGTGACACCGAGGGAAGCGACCTGTGGGGACATAAGGCACGTTTATTCTGGGTGTTCTCTGAAAGCTCAAAGCAAGACCGGAACGGTAAGAAGGGGGAGGGAGAGACAGAGAGAGACGGAGAGGTGCAGAAACAGAGAAGAGAGAGAGGACCGCAGTTAAATCATCATCGTAAGCCCCAAATAGTAAAACAATTGTAGCTGTTCAGGGGTCATGGAGTGAAGAAATCTGAGAACTTCTTGAAAGCTTTAGAAATTTTATAAATTTTAGAACATAAAGACCAGCTATTCCAATACCATTTTATGAAGATAAGAAACCAGAGACCCTATAAATGTAAAGGCTGCCAGGAGAGGATCTGGCCAGGAGCACACAAAACTGAGAACACCCAGTGACCATGTAAAGGCTGCCAGGAGAGGGGCTGGCCAGGGGTACAGAAAGCTGAAAGCACCCCACTCTCACTGGCTGTGCTTTCCAGACTTGCCTTACACACAGCAAGCACTTAAGATCTCACTGTTTACAGTGGGGTTAAATGATTAGCTCCCCCTTATTTCTCCTAAGTGAAAAATAAAGTATTTAAACATTATTTTCAAAGGCATACACTTGTAGAGATCAAGAAAGGGAAGTCCTCCAGAGGCCAAGAAGAAAGAGAAAACAACTTCCAAACAGGTCAGGGATGCTTCCTCTCCACCCTGCGTCTTTGCCCTGGGAGCAGCTACTGTTCCTGATGAGGTCTGAAGTTAGTTCTTGCTGGGAGGATGAGGCCAGGTGCCCAGGTACACGGATGTAGGAGACAAAGTGGGCCAATGTGAGTGGAGATTAAGTCACAGGCACCCTTGAGGACATACAACTCCACAACTACTGACATCCTTACAGGTATAAAGGGGAAAAAATAGGGGAAAACAAGGAAGAATCTAGCTAATGTGTATTTGGGTCTGGGGAAAGGTGAAAAGGAAATGGCAAATTCTGACCAGGAGCCTGAACTTATGTGGTATTAAGGGCCAGAATTCACACCATCTCCGTGGCTCAGAAAACCCAAAATGCAACTTACAATTGTCCCAGGAATGCTTACACACTGTTGGTGGGAATGCAAATTATACAAGCTCTATGGAAAACAGTCTGGAGATTCCTCAAAGAACTGAAAGTAGATCTACCATTACCTCCAGCAAACCCGCTACTATAGATCTATCCAAAGGATGGATGTCATTGTATCAAAAAGACGCCTGCACTCATATGTTCATCACAGCACAATTCACCATCACAGGACTATGAAATCAATCTAAGTGCTCACTGACTAAGGAGTGGATAAAGAAAATATAGTACTACTATGTGGAGTACTACTCAGCCACAAAAGAATAAAGTAATACCCCATGGAGTACTACTCAGCCACAAAAAGAATAAAATAATGTCTTTTGCAGCAACTTGGACGGAACTGGAGGCCATTATCCTAAGTGAAGTAATTTAGGAGTGGACAACCAAATACCCCTATCTCACTTAAAAGTGGGAGCTAAGCTCCAGGTATGCAGGGGCACACAGAGTGGTACGATAGCCAATGAAGACTCCAAAGTGGGGAGCGTTGGAGGAAGGTGAGGGAAGAGAGACGACCTATTTGAGTGATGAGTACACTGAAATCCCAGACATCACCACTACACAATTCATGTATGTAACGAAAATCAGAATTAAATTAAATAAATAGATAAATAATAAACTTATCCCAGGCATGTGGTAGAAGCAAACATAATTCTTTTCTGGGATAATGTACTTTAAAAACAGGCTTTGGAAAAATCCCACAGATAAAATTCCAGGGAACATGGGTTCACAGAGTCAAAAAATCATAATATGCAAGAGACAACCAGCCATTATACATTATAGGACCCCCAAACCCCAAATTACAGAACAGACCTAAAATCAGTACATTTATCATGAAATAGGTATATTTATCAAATTTAAAGAAATAAACGATACTGCAGAAAAGTCAAAGAAAATAGGAAATATAAAAAATAACCCTGAAAATATGCAGAAAGGAGCCAAAAAAAGTCTAGACATCCCAACCATAGGGAAATATCAGATCATAAAACTATGTAGCAATTTTTACATGCAATATGATATGCAAAAAAGACCCTGCTTTTATACATGTAAAAAAACTGCCAAAGGTTAGAACCAAAAATATGGCCTACAGGTGGTGGTTCACACTTATAATCCTAGCAGTCTGGGAGGCAGAGTAGGAGGATCACTTGAGCTCAGGAGTTCTAGACCAGTCTGAGCAAAAGCAAGTTCTGCTATCTACTAAAAAGAATAAAAATGAAAATAACAAAAATTAAAATACAAAAAGTAGCCAGGTATTGTGGCAGAGTTTATAGCCCCCATGATTCCTGAGGCAAGAAGATTGCTTCAACCTGGGAGTTTGGGGTTGTTGGGAGTAGGATGACACCACAGTATTCTAGCCTGGGGCAACAGACTGAAACTGTCTAAAAAAACAAAAAAATAGAACCAAAAATATGTACCTATTTTTTCACACTGAGGCTTTTCCACAATAACAAACATATGTTCCTAGTGTAAACACACTATTTCTCATTTACCTATAAAATATTCACTGAGCATCACACACACACTTATCCAACATGAGCACACATGTACTGACATCAGTTCTCTGCCAAGCACTACACTTGACATGGGGGACACAGAAAGGTACCAGAAGCAGTCCCTTCCCTCCAGCACAGCATCGTCAACCAAGAGGGGGAGGATGGTGCTCCCGGTTACAGCAATCACCAGGAACATCAGATTTACTCAAATAGTTTGAGGAAAATTTAAGTAATTTAATGTTTAAAAAATCTAGTCATTATTTATATATTTAAACAAAAACGATGAATAAAAGTCAAAAGTTAAGAGGTTGCAGACAAAACATTGAAACTAAAAGAACAGGCCCAAAGTGGATGGAGTTCTTTGGGCTGCTCCCAGACACCTGGGGAGGTTAATTCACTGTCCTTTGCTTGCTAGTGGGAAGGTTTAAGAAGCATAATGATAGGTCATGCCTTGGCAAAGGGACCAGGGGAAAAAATGAAGTATAATGGAATAGCTAATTATTTTAAACTCCAAAGGCCCTTATTGAGAAAAGGAAAACCATTTGTCAAGCAGTTTTAGGGCTCAAAACATTATTTTTTTATCCACCATATTCAAGCTGTCACCCTCCCTAGAACTATGGCACCTTGCCTATGGATTCTGAGAGTTCCAATATCAAATATTCTCTACTCTTCTTACAGGCTACACATCAGACAGTGCCTACTAGTTCTAATGTGGAAAATAAGAACAATGTATGAATGTCCTGGCTACTTTCATAGTCATTAGTAGAGCTAGTCTGAAAATGAAGTGTAATGAGGGTTAACTATACGAAAATCAAAAATGAAGAAAAATATGACTAGCAAAGCTCGACACCAGTGGTGATACACAGGTCATGGTTGTGCTTAAAACCCCAGTCTTATTCTCTAAATTTTTTCAAGAAGTGTCCCATAAGCATCATATAAGAAATATCAACCTGACAGCAAAAATAAAAAAAGCCACATCTACTTTCATCTTTTTCTTTTTTTTTTTTTTTTTTTTTGGCGTTTTCGATTAGTATGAGTATATATGAGTAGGTTACATTATTTGTGTTTGTAAGGTAAAGTTTAAAGTCCAAGATGTAGCTGTGTCCTTCATCCAGGAAGGGTGCCATGTACCCCATACATTGTACCCAATAGGTGGGAACTTACCGAGCTCCCTCCCTCTCCCTCTCCTTCTTGAATTTCATCCTGTTTTTCTCTCATGTGGGGCTACAGTTAATCTACTAGTTTCAGACAAGAACTGAGTTACAAGGGATGCTGCCTTTCCATTCTTGATACTTTACTTAGGAGAACGTTCTCCAAAACCATCCAGGTAAATACAAAAGATGCAAAGTCCACATCCATTTTTATGGCTGAATAGTAGCCGATGGTGTACACAGATCACAATTTATTGATCCATTCAAAGATCAATGGTTCCTTAGGTTGTTTCTACATCTTTGTAACTGTCAATTGAGCTGCTATAAACATTGCAGTGCAAATTTCCTTATGGTAAATGATTTTGTTCTTCTGAGTAGATGCCTAGTAATGGGATTGCAGCATCAAATGAAGGTCTACTTTTAGTTCTTTGAGGATTCTTCACGCTTCTTTCCAAAAACTCCGTACTAGTTTGCAATCCCACAAGGAGCGCATAAATGTACTCCTCTCTCTGTACCCTGCCAGCATTTGCAGCTTTGGGACATTGTGATGTGGGCTATTCTCACTGGTGTTGGTAAGATCTCAAAGTGGTTTTGATTTGCATTGCTTTCAGATTAATAAATTGATCGTGGAAATTTGTTTTGCATCTATGCTGGAGGCACAAAATAATTCTAAAATTGAGGTCCACGTTGTGCAACTGTCTTACGATCATATATTTTTTAACGTCAGTTAATGTCACACTTGGGGAAATCTGAGAAAGGCTGGCCATTTTCTAAAGGTCCAGATCAAACAGTATCAGGTGAAAACTGAAGTCCTTTAGTTTATAGATTTTTCATGCCTTACATTGGCGTGTATGTTTTTCAGATGTTTTGATTCATTTCATTTAAGAACGCGAAAAAAAATTCTCAAGCTATTAAATAGACGCAAATCCTCAGCAAGTCTTTCTGTGCCATCGTTACTGAGGCAAACCTTTGAGCATGTTCCCCTGTTACTATATATCCTGAGTCAGTTCACAGATACAAAGCTACAAAATTTTTATGCCATGCTTTCTTTCTAAATTATGAATAGCATTTCTATTAAAAGGAAAGCTCAGTAATATAAAAATACTGAAGACTGAGAAGAGGCCATCTGTCAGAGGCTCACAACATCTATTTGCTTGGTAGTTCTCTATTGTTACTTACAAAGAACCCCATGCACAAAGGATAACCCCTTCTCCTCTATTAATCACCCTAACTTTAAATCTAGAGATTTAAAAAATCTGGACCAATTATCACAAGTGCTAGCATTTGCATACC